GCGCATAACCGACAATGCATCAAGCAAGGCACATCTTCTACCTGGTCACCAAGAAATGGTCCCCGAGTAAGCCGACTTATCTCAATCCCTGGAAGACCCTGATTGAACTGAGAGAAGCCCTGCTAAACAACAACATTACACGATTAGCCATTCCCTGTGGCCATTCCGAAGCTGGCGTGTGGACTCGATGGTTTGGGTTGGCGTACAATCCGGAACATGATTGAAGTCTTGTTCAGATTTACGGGAATCGAGATCCTCGTTTGCTGCTACAACCCAAAACTGAGATCGGGAGAGAAAACTGTAGACTGCTATTTCTACCAGACTTCTCAATGTACCAGGGACCAGCTTTGCAAATACCTTCATTCACCGTGTACATATTGGAACGAGCATGTATTTAAGAAGGGGGCAGTGTTGCGGACCCGTGTGGACTCGGCATAACCTAACCAAAGAGTAGATAAGACAAGAGACAGTGAACAAAGAAGTCGAATTTCGCGAGAGAGACGCAGATATATTAAAATTTAAAGGTCCCATCAAGTACCATTTTGTCTGTTGCCAAGTATATTACTTTGAAAAATAAACAAGATTTTCTGAAAATAAATTAATAATATAAGAAGGATATAAGTAACGTATATTAATACGGAAATGTAAATTTTTAGTTTAAGGCGGGTTCTCACTTGTCAGTTTCGCTGACGCAGTCTGACTGATTCAGTGATACTGAACAAACAATAAACGTCAGAACACATTTTCATGTTAAATGATCAGTACATTCGTACTTTCAGTTAAAGTGAAAACCAGTTCTACTTTTTTTCATTTTGACTGATCATTATCGAATAATGAATAGAAACTGAAGCGTGAGAACTACATTTTCGTGATTTGTGCAGTTTACAAGTTAAGTTAATTAATTCTTTTAATATAGTTCACTAGCACCCCGTTTATTTCTTCGCAATATCCAGGACCTGACCATCTACGACGTTTTTTTTTTCTTTTCTGATTCACCAGAATATTCTGTAATTCATTTGCTAATTGTAAACAAACTTCGCGAACACCTGGTTTCAATTTCGTTTTAACCATTTTCATGTCTATACGAAATCACCACATTAGAATGTTTGGACCAACTGAATACTGAATGTAGCAAAACATGAAACGTGTGAATACAATCGTTGTTTTTTATTTTTCATTGATAATGAATCAGTCAGACTTTCGTCAACGAAACTGACAAGTGAGAACCCGCCTTTAGGTTGGTTTAAGGTTCTTTTTTTCGCAATGTACTGTAATATCAAAGAAACAGAATGACTAAGTTGATCGATTTCAAAGATAAACAGATAAAATCTGAAAATCTGACAACGGCGTATTTTATCTAATCTAACCTATGATTTTAGGACGCTAATCAGCTGCGCTAATCAGGCTTAAACATAAACAAATCTGATTAGTTGTTTTCTTGCATTTTTGCCTTTTTAAAGTGTGTTTTCAGAGTTTTTCGATATATTATCATTTTGAGAGTTTTTAAGGTTTAATTTTAGTATCGTTTTTGTTGCGTACTAATTTGTAAATATTGTTAAATATGAATACTGAACAGGACACGAGTAGAGCAGGAAAAGACGAGATGGTGGCAATGTGTGTGCTTATAAAGACTGCAAAAATACGTCTTATTCTTCGACAAACATAATATTTTACTCTTTTCCAAAGGATCCTGAAAAGTACTTTTATAGAAATATACTATATAATTATGTTATTAAACTAAATGTAATCCATAGATCGAAGACATGGTTAGAAGCTTGTATTATATTTTTACAAAAAAAATTGAGCAACTCTATTTTTTTGTTCACAAACTCCACATTGTGATTTTACACTTGTTCAAGTCCATATGTAAAAAAATACACGTAAATAAAACATTTCTTACAAATCGACTTGGTCACTCTATCTTGTTTACCAACGATATACAAAATATTGCTTTTATTATCTTTATTCCCCGACAAATATGTTTATAATTATAATTTATTTTATATAATATTTAGAAAACTCATTTTTTTTTCGTTTCTATTTATTTCTTTACCCATACAGTAACTATTTATAAGCTATACAGGCAAGTTTTAATAATAGTCTATTTTAAAATTTCCGCCAAAAATTACGAAAATTTAAAGGGACAAGCAGAGACGAGGTCACTCTCCCACCACTCAAACATGAAAGGTACCGCGCGAACTGTCGTCTCTTGTCTTTATCTACTCTTTGAATAACCTTAATATCGCATTAAATAATAGACACCGTAATGATTTATTCGAACGTTCGAGAACAATCGAGCTCCACTGGAATGGAGTAGTACATACGAGAACATTCGAAATCTTATTCTCTATGCACCTAATGATCTATGGATAATTCGAAAACTCTTTAGCTGTGGGTATAAAAGCCGGCGGCTGGGGCCTGAAGAGGACAGAAAATAAATAGACGAGTACAGTTGTCGCGCTAAATTCAAAATAAATTCTTTCTAGATAAATAGTTATAAATAGTTTGTATACAAATAGTACAAATAGTTATAAATAGTTTGTATAGCAAAGTTCTTTAAGTATTTTAATCCTTATTGTTTGTTACTTAGTGTAAATAAATTGTGACTTTCTATCCACACGGAACCGACGAAAAACGTAACAATATTCTTTGGGTTTAGTCTTTTTTGATGGGATTTGTGGCGCTGATTTCATATCTTTGTTTATCGTAAATCAGGTTTAATTAATTGCATTGTTCATATTGACGCAGATATTCTGAAGACATTAGGTTTGTTTTCACATGCAGTCAGAAACATGTTTCTGATAGTTTTCAAACTACTTATACTGCGCATGTCATGGAGACAACAAATCCATAACAAGTTTGTGATTTTTGTGGAAACACTGGACTAGAACGTATTAAGCTTGTTTCATATAGACGCAGATCGCTGGTGCGATTTTGCGAAACTGCTTTCTCATTGGTCCAATTTACTGATCATGGCGAAAGCGCTGTCAGAAATTTTAAGATTTGGCGATTCGCAAGATTTAAAATTTGGGGGCGGGAAAGAATGTTTTCAACTTTTGCGAATATTCGCGCGATTTGGGTACGCGTTTGCGCAGAATGGTGTTGTGATCCGGTTATCGATTATTTGACGACGCTGCACCGTAACTTCAAGCATTTCTCCAGTTGAAATGGGTTCTCGTACATAATATGTTTTTGATATATGGCGACAATTTTTCCTTCAACCAAGTTATCAAACTCCTATACAGACAATCTGAAAATTCCAGTACTATGTTTCTTCTTTATTTTGAATTAAACTGCGACAAGCACCTTGTTGCTGAAATTTGAATATTTCTGCATGTCCCCAAATGGCCCATAAATGACCTATAAACCTGTGCTATAAACCCATTCTCTTCTACGTTTAACAATAAGTAAATAGCAATTTTACACCTTATTCTATTCCAATCCAATCGTAATCGATATTCATAATTATTAAACAAATTTAAACTCATATTGCATACTTTATAAAATATAAAATAAAGATCGTAAACACGAATAAATATGTATAAAACAAATTAAGTTATCTCCAGGTTATGATTTTTTTTTGGTAGCTTTCAGTGGAGCAAAAATGAATGTCCCTAAAATTCGCGACTGTATGAAATAGATTCCCAAATTTTGCGAATATTTTTAGCGAATCGCTTTTTCGCAATTCGCGATTCGCGTCTATATGAAACAAGCTTTACTGGTTGCATAGGCATTCTTCTTCTTTTCATTTATAAAACTAACCTTACTTATTATTTAAATTTTCGTCTTTGCTTTTACTTTTGTGTTTATTTTTCTTACACAAAATGGATAAAAACAGTAAGTTTATTTATAGAAACATCTTTTATATAAAATGATTTATTAACATATTACATTATTTTTAAAAGATAACATGCCTCAAAAATTAAATGAATTTATTATTATTAACGTTAGTCTGACGATTCATCTGTTTCAAAACAATCAGACTTATGGACCTGGACAACTAAAAATACAAAGAATGATTGATACTTATGCTGAACTAAAGCCGAAGTTAGGGTACTCATGCAGTAAAATATAGAAGATTTAGTAGGAACAGCTGAAAAAATGAATGGGCCAGTTACACCAGCTCAGTGTGAAAATAAGTGGAGAGTATTAGAAAGAGCTTACAAAAATATATAGATAATCAAGTACTGATTTGTGCTAGAAAGTTTTTTGAATAATATGCAGAATGGACTTGATATTTAAGGGGGAAAAAAATGTGCAGCCTATTTTATTACTCTCTGACACCACAAAAGATGATCTTTCAAATTTAGTAGAGGATGATTTAGACAGTTTTTGTGAAACTAATGTGGATTAAACCATCGTCTTAGATACAAGCTGAACCTGAAGTAAAACAAAAGAAAACACTTTCTCCAATCCAAGCACAATCGGGCTAGGTGAAAGAAGCAATCCCGTGTTAAATAGGAATATTACTTTGGAGAAAATGAGACAGGATGGAAAGAATATTACAATGCACATTCTACAAGAGAAAGCTGAAAAGATAATCTCTTGAAAAAAGAAAGAAATACTATCAAGAAAAAATCAGAAATTTTGAAGGCAAATGTCTAGAACATAAAACTGAGTTTAATAATACCTGTGTAGGTAATACCATGGTACAAAAAAAAACAGGTATGATTAATAGAAGCAATTACGTCATCGCTACCATGTTTCCATAAAAACGATTGGTTTTTAACCAATCAAATAACAGAACGAGAGGAAGTTTCTATGGAAATGTGGTCACCACATGACATTATTGCTTCTATCAATCATACCTTGTTTTTTTTGTACCACGGGGTAATACCAGTTTGTTGTTATTTGTTACTTTAATTATTGTAATACCTATACTTACATACTTATAGACTTTTTTTGTTTTGTATGTTTTATAATAAAAATTGTTAAAACAAACAGTTAAAAATAACATTTATTTCAAAAACGTGTAAAAATATGTAATAATAACAAAATAATAATGATTATTATATTATTGCAAATAATAATCTAAGTAAGAATACATTGTGTAGGTTGCACAAGCTTCGAAAAGGCAATTTTTCTTTTCACAACTGATTTTGGCTAAGCGAAAATTTAAATTTACCCGCATTTTCTTATATCTCCTAAAATACTCCTGGGTGGTTTAATAATATAGAAAGACCCTGTACTAGGCCTATCACTTGAATTATTCTAAAGTATTTACAATCATGTTTCTTTTTTGTACAGCATCCTGATTTGCGTGTTCTGCAGCATCTTGGATATCAAATAAATTTACATTATTTTCATTTGCTTCTAAATTATTATCACCTTCTATGTACAGAAAATTATCATTCAGTCCTAAGTTATGAAGTACACAACATGCCCTAATAAAATGAACTATTGTACGTATATCTCTTAACTTAATATGATATAATTGGCGCCATTTTTGTTTTAATAAGCCATTGCAGTGTTCGATACAAATCCTATTGGACGAGTGTTGGACATTATAGTTAATTTGGTTTCTAGTTAACATTCCCCTGTCTGGAAAAGGAGTCATAAGATTGTACATTAAAGGATAGGCACTGTCTCCTAAAATATGGAATTCATTACACTTCTCTTGGAGTGAATTAAATAGGTCTGATGTTCTGAAAACACGTGCATCGTGTACCGAACCTGGATATCCAACAAATAAATTTGTTATTTTTAATTGATGGTCACAGACAAGTTGTGCCTAAAAAAAACTGAATGTACTTTTATAAATTAAGTCTATCTAATAATTTTAATATGCTTACCTGTATTGAGTAATACCCTTTCCTATTTATATAAGAGTCTGGATCCTCCAGAGGCTTGTCTATTCTGATGTGGGTTCCATCTATAGCTCCTATAATTCCTGGATACCCATTTTTTTGGCGAAAATATCTTTCAATATCAGCTTGCCTTTCATTGTTAGGCCATATTATTATTTCAGGCGCTAAATTGCTTAGAAAATATGTCATTCGTTTTACTACTTTATGTAGGGAACTTATGCATATATTAAATCTATCTGCCACATCACGGAAGCTGGCACTTTGATGCCCCGCAAACCATAGAAAAATGTGTGTCTGCTTCAATGAGGTAAGTTTTTCATGTGGTCCCAATTGCCACTTATAATATTCACTATTTTCAAAGCGAACAGCGATGTCGGCAGCAACATCTTTACTTACACGGAAGTGTTCTATGTGTTCTTTATCATTAAACTGTGGTACAATCTGTTCAAAGAAAGTTTGATTTTTAGGCCGAATTCTTTCTTCTAACATAATTTCCAGATCTGAATCTGTTTCAGACATTTGGGAGAATTCAGATGCATCGGATGAAGAAAAACCAGACATTTTTCACTATAACAAAATTAGTGCATTAGTGCGCATAAATAACAATATTTAATATATTTACATTAAATTACCTACCACAAATCACAATAATTGTTTCTTTGAATTGTTTTTTGTTTTAACCTCAAACACAAAGAAAGATTTCAAAACAAGCTTGACTACGCAGAGTGACTACGCAGGAATATAGGTACAGTGATTGTCCAAAATATAGCGAATTGCGCATGCTCCAACTCTTTACTTGGAGATAATCCGCAAACTCTTCTTGCTGCTAGCAAACTGTCACGAATTGATGTGTGAACAACCGATTCTTAGTTTGATAACAGCTAGAAAGTGATGTGTGAACGCAAAAAAAGGTATTGCGCAGAATCTAAACATCAGAAACAAGTTTCAAACTGATGTGAAAACAAACCTATTTATCACGAAGCGGCTGCTTCTCACAAAAAAATTGTTTCCTAGGATGCGGCGAATTTCACTTCTAGATGCGCGACGAAGTAATTGGCTCCATTATGGCTATTATGAATGAATTTGTACCGGGTGGCCAACTAAGAATGGACGCCGGCTGTATCTCAGAAACTACTTATCGTATAACTTTGGGAGAAAAATCCAATAAGTATATCGACCAAGAGAAATCGCTGGAAATTATTTTCAAGTTCGAAAAATGTCCGCTAGGGGGCGTTTCTCTGATAGCCAATCAGAAAACAGGGTTTTTCTCAAAAATATGCAGGTGAACAGGTATTTTAAATATTTCTATTGTAATCATCGAGAAATTTGTAATTTTTTTTATATAGAGTATTTTACTCTATCTAATAAAATAAAGTGGTGGGGGAAGGTTAAACTAGCTTTTATTAAAATAAGGATTAACTCTGGTTTGGGTTAACCGATTTAAACAAACTAGGGCTCGTTTAAAAGAGCTTTTCTTCCTTAATGATATCCAGTATAAATTTTGTTTTCATAATTTTTTTCGTGGTAGCTAGAGGGCGCTGTTTGACATCATAACAGATATTGCGCTTTTGCATAAAAAATTTAAATAGAAGGCTATATTTCTCTTTGCACAGTTAAATAGAGCACAAAATTTCCAAAATATTAGCGCAAACTGCAACTTTCTACCTTGTCTCTAACCGAAGATATTAAGAGAAAAAATCATGTTAGGCTGCCGCTTAGAATTATATGGTCTAAAAATTAGAGTAGTAGGCTAGGAAACAAAAAGAGGTAAATTAGTTAGGTCAAAATATCAAAACATATATTTTAATTTCATTTCAATACCATTTAATTGTTATTTATCCATGTCCGTTCTTGCTTCGCCCCCATAAATTAAAACCCAGGCATATTGAATCCGATGACCTAGCTGGCCATGGAAATATGCCGCTCCAGCGTCTCTATCTACTAAAGTAAGTTGTATCCAAGAAGCCCCACACATTCATAGCAGAAAATGCGACCAAGCTGCACCAACTGCATCATCTACACCAACTGCATTCATGCTGATGAAATTGCAACAAATGCAATTTCATCATGATGGATCCCCTAACAAGATTGACAATTCATCTCTTAGAAATTATGAATAGTTCATTTCATTCAGATAATTAAAAAAATCCAATCATTCGCCATCCTAGAATTTCTGCCTAAACATGTAGGTACCGACCAACGGTCTTGGTGCTGAACTACTTGCATTCAAGGTAGATTTGGACCAGTAGTGCATATTGTTAAGATTCGCCCCTTCGGGTGTATATGAAAAGTGACCCAAAAGATATAAACTTTATAATATAATAATAAACAATACAAACAACAGGTAAAACACGAAAACAAGTGAAATCAAGAACGAACTTGAATTAATAGTTAAATGATCTTACATGAAATAAACCCTTAGTTTCGGCCATACGAAATTTGTTATTGTTAAAAGCAATATGGCGGCACAAAATTCCTAGAAATTTTAATAAAATTATTGATTGTCCGACTTATGGACATTTTAATCTGGACATTTTAACCTGCGTATAATTAACCAAGAAATTCGTAAAAATTATGTGAATGGACGATAATGTTACATAAATACGTTTAAAAATTTATGACGTCATTTTTTTAAGAAAACGCCCGAAATTCGAATGCATGAAAACTTAAACGTTTTGATATTTTGACGTAATCAATTTACTTCTTTTTGTTTCCTAGCCTACTACTATAATTTTTAGACCATATAATCTTAAGCGGCATCCTAACATGATTTGTTCTCTTAACATCTCCGGTTAGAGAGAATATAGAAAGTTGCGGTTTGCGCTGATATTTCCAAAATTTTGTGCTCTATTTAACTGTGCAAAGAGAAATATAGCCTCTTATTTAATGTTTTATGCAAAAGCGCAATATCTGTTATGATATCAAACAGCGCCCTCTAGCTACCACGAAAAAAATTATGGAAAGAACATTTATACTGGGTATCATTAAGGAAGAAAAGCTCTTTTAAACGAGCCCTAGTTCGTTTAAATCGGTTAATCCAAACCAGAGTTATCCTTATTTTAATAAAAGCTAGTTTAACCTTCCCCCACCACTTTATTTTATGAGATAGAGCAAAACACTCTATATCAAAAAAATTACAATTTTCTCGGTAATTACAATAGTAATATTTAAAATACCTGTTCACCTGCATATTTTTGAGAAAAACCCTGTTTTCTGATTGGCTATCAGAGAAACGCCCCCTAACGGACATTTTTCGAACTTGAAAATAATTTCCAGCGATTTCTCTTGGTCAATTTACTTATTAGAATTTTTCTCCCAAAGTTATACGATAAGTAGTTTCTGAGATAAAGCCGGCGTCCATTCTTAGTTGGCCACCCGGTACAAGAATGATTCAGCAAGGCCCGCGCCGCACGGCGAGGAGAACGGCGAGTAACGTGGAGATGTGAATTGCTCCACTATGTTTTTTACCTTTAAGGTAAACATTGTTTTGTTTTTAAAATACGTTACATTAATTTACTTCCGTTGCATAATTTTTCAATAAAAGGTAACATATATATGGGTGCAAACATTTTCTACCTGATCCAACCTTGACCTGGTTTTGTAACGTCCCTTGCATGGCTTCAGTGGTATCGTTGCGCTTTTATCGTCCTTTTATCTTGGTCGCTATGTCATTGGTTGACACGGGTTGACAACCGTCGCCATTACCTATGACCACAAACTACCACTATGACCTATGGAGAGTGGAGGTACATGGTCATTACAAGTCTGAGTTATAATTTGGTCATTTTAAAATCTTCCTATGTTAATCTGCATCATCCGTTACTATTTCATCGGAAAAGGAAAGAGTTTTGATAGTCCACATTAATCTGAAATAGAATCCTTCTACCATCAACCCCTATTTGTTAATAGGGGTTGTTTTTTTTAATTTGTTACCATACTCCTCCGCACTGTTGCCAACTTAGCGGTTTTCCCGCTAGATCTGGCGGTTTTATTTTCTGTTTAGCGGGAAAAAATATTTAGCGGCTAGCGGTTTGATTTTTTGAATATTAACAATTGAATTATTAAATAAAATTTTTAACGATTTTTTTTGAAAATTTGTACTAATAGTCACGTAATTATCATATATTCTTAAAATATCTAGGCCTAGAATCGCCTAGAATCTTCGAAGTCTCTTAAAATATGTCTTATCATGTGATGAGAACCTTACCAAAAAGTTCACACAAAAATAGGCGACACTACAAAATTTCAGTTTCAATGTCGCTCCTAGCGGATTCTAGTGGTTTTTAATATACGAATCTAGCAGGTATGCAACTTCGAGCGTTGGCAACCCTGCTCCTCCGAAACGGCTTGATCGATTTTACAGTAGGTCTTAGAATAAGTTATCTATTTTTTATACCCTTAAGTGATAAGGGTGGCCCACCACAATTTTTTTTTATTTTTTAAAAAAAAATATTTTTATTTTTATGATGTGGCATTACAAAATACAGGCAACCCTAAATTTTCACCCTTCTACGTGCTTCTACCATCAACCCTTATTTGTTAATAGGTTTTTTTTTTTAATTTTTCGTTACCATACTCCTCCGTAGAGAGAGAGAGAGAGAGAGAGTACTCACTTTCATCACTCAAGGGACCACCTCTGTGCAAAATTACATACTGCCAGGACGGATTTTACATAAAAATTATACCGTATATAATATATACCTATATAATATACCGGGTGTTTTGGTTTGTAATCCCATGTAAATTTTAATGGGGTCAATTATTGGCTTCCCTAATTATTTTAGAGAATAATTCTATTTAGGTTTATTGAAGAGCACTAAAACCCACATTCAAAAGAATAACTTTAGATATTTTTGATTAGATCGTTTACGAATTATCGCCGATTTCTTTTTAAATATTTCTCCTTTCTTATGGCCCTGTATTTATTTATGAGCACCAGTCAAGGTAAAAGATAACTGTCAAATGAAGTTGTCATTTGAGAAATTTACCTATTTAGTGCTTTATTATTATTGAAAACTCATTCCTACATCGGAAATCTTAAAGATGTATTTATAAATACAAATTAATATGAATTAAAGTAAAATAAAGTAATCAATTACTTTAGGTTAATTATAGTATTATTACAATATCCAATAACTCATTAATTTAGGTACTATTAAATGACAACTTCATTTGACAGTTATCTTTTACCTTGACTGGTGCTCATAAGTAAATACAGGGCTATAAGAAAGGAGAAATATTTAAAAAGAAATCGGCGATAACTGGTAAACGGGCTAATCAAAAATATCTAAAGTTATTCTTTTGAATGTGGGTTTTAGTGCTCTTCAATAAACCTAAAGAGAATTATTCTCTAAATTAATTAGGCAAGCCAATAATTGACGCCATTAAAATTTACATGGGATTTCCTATGTCCCGCTCGACGATGCAACACCCGGTATAATTTTCAACCCTATTTTACTATTTTATATTTTCCAAAAACACAATTTTCTCATTAAATATATAGATTTTAGACATAGGAAGTACTTAACAAAACAAAAAGATCAAACAAAACTTCGTTCGATTAAGAAACAAAATACAGGGTGATCCATTTAAAATAGTGGAGAAAAATACATTTAGTTTTGACTCACACTGTATATATAAAAAAAGATTGCAAATATTGTTAGATTGAATTTTAAAGAAGACACCATTAAACACTACCTCAGGCTAAAAAAAATTAAAATTCTTCGAATTTAGAATTTTTAGAGGGCTTTAAATAATAAGCAGTAAATTTAGTTTTCAAACGGTTATATTTCAAAAACCACTCGGTAGAGTATATGACATTATGGTATTTTTGAAATGGGAATTTAATGGTAAATCCACTGAGCTAAAATATATACAGTAGTATTCCATTTAAAAATATACAACTTTTGTTTGAAAATATATTTGAATCACCCTGTATGTTGACGAGAAGATTTTCAAAACGT